TATAATAAAGTCTGAACTCTTAATAACTACACATTGATAAATAAGTCTTTTCAGATTTTCTATTTCTTTTGGAATCAACTTTAGTGTTTTCTGTCTTTCCAAGAATTTGTCCATTTAATCTAAGTTGTTGAATTGGTTGACACGAAGTTTCTCACAGTATTCCCTTATTATCTTTTAAATTTCTGTAAAACAGGTACTGATGCCTCCTTTACATTGCTTAATAAATGTGACCTATTTTTATTAACATAGATACCCTGGACCCTATCACATAACCTAAGTCTCATGTGCATTATTAGACTCTGTAATCTCCTCCCAGCTCCAAAATCTGTAAGTGATTAGGGGTTCCAAGAGGTTAAAAAATTTCCAAACCAACTGCTCCCTTGCAAATCCTGCCATGTTAATACTTTTTAAATGTACATAATCAAATACTTCACTATAAACAAACGAACAAAAAAAAACTACAAACCCCACTGAGCAAGTACATGAAATAAAGGGCAAGTCAACCTCATATGGCTGGTTACCCATACCCCTTTGCTCAATATAGGAGCAAAGCTGCCAATAAGTCTCTGGGATGCCTCAGGAAAAAGTGATCAAAGCCCAAGAAGTTGAAAGCATGTGGCACTAAGGTGACTAAGACATGGGCTCCTAGAGTTTGAAGAACTCCCTCCTTTGTCCTCTAAAGAAACCAAGCTGGTTTGGCTCACTGGCTCACTGGATAGAGCATCGGCCTGTAGACTGAAGGGTCCGGGTTCCATTCCAGTCAAGCGCATGAACCTCAGTTACAGGCTCCCAACCCTGGTTGGGGTCAATGTGTCTCTCTTATATCGGTGTTTCTCTCTCTCTCCCTTTTCCTTCCACTCTCTAAAAAATATCAATGGAAAAACATCCTCAGGTAAGGATTTAAAAAAAGAAAAAGAAAAAGAAACCAAGGCCTGGAGAAGTCAGTATTTGCCTAAAAGGGCACAGCGAGTGGCAGAGGAACTAAAGGGCAGCTCTCCTAGCCTGGAGTCATGGGACTGTTCAGGTTCTGCCTCTGTCACTCTATGTGACTTCAAGCACGTTACTTAACGCTCTCTGAGCCTTATTGTAGAGAGACATAATAGCAGCGACCCAATGGGGCTAACTTGAGTGACAAATTAAATAATATACGTGAAAGCACTTCCTAAAAACTATAAAGGACTACAGAAGTGTGAATTATTAACATAACATTCCAACATTTCCATGACAATATTGAGATAGAACCATCCCTTGGTTGTTTTCATCATCTTTTTCCCACACAAACTTCTCCCTCTACTTTAAAAATAAAAATAAATGTTTCCTTCCAAGGTCCCCTGTGACATTCTCATCTTTACCAACTACCCTTAGAACAGCAGTTCTCAACCTGTGGGTTGCGACCCCTTTGGAGGTCAAAAGACCCTTTCACAGGGGTCGCCTAAGACCATCCTGCATATCAGATATTTACATTACGAGTCATAACAGTAGCAACATTATAGCTATGAATTAGCAACGAAAATAATTTTATGGTTGGGGGTCACAACATGAGGAATTGTATTTAAAGGGCCAGAAGGTTGAGAACCACTGCCTTAGAAGCTTTTCCCCTAAGTGCCAAGGACACTGCATTTGGCTTAAAATGAAAAAAAATGTGAAGACAAACAACACATGTAGCTGAGAGGCACCCAGTGAACTGGGAAGAAGTACTCTGCAGCCCTGGCCGGTTTGGCTCAGTGGATAGAGCTTCATAGCCAGAGGACTGAAGGGTCCCAGGTTCGATTCTGGTCAAGGGTATATGCCCGGGTTGCGGGCTCAATCCCTAGTAGGGGGTGTGCAGGAGGCAGCTGATTGACGACCCTCTCATCATTG